TCCAGGTAGTTCTCCAAGGACAAAGAATAAAATCTTGATCTTTCCATTGATTTGGTCCACCATGAACAAATTACTTAAAATATTCAAGCTTATCCATAACATGAGAATAATACCTAACCCTAAATATTTGTTCTGAAGATTTAAATGAAATTAGCTATTAATAAAGAATAATTGCTATTATTATAATAAAGATTATTATCATCATAATTATTACTATTCGTATAAGAATGTCCAAATTGCCTTTATGGCTTAATGAATTTTAAAACTCATGATATGAATATTATTTTCATTTTTTAATGTTTTTATTTCTTTCTGAGAGAAAGAGAGACAGTGTGAGCAGGGGTGAGTCAGAGAGAGAGGGAGATACAGAATCTGAAACAGGCTGCAGGCTCTGAGCTAGCTGTCTGCACAGAGCTTGACCCAGGGCTTGAACCCACGAACCATGAGATCATGACCTGAGCCAAAGTCGGATGCTTAACCGACTGAGCCACCCAGGAGCCCCTCATTTTGTTTTAAATAGAGCTGAAGGAAGATCACCACGCTTATGCACTAAATTGTGTCCCCCCATTCACCCCAAGAAAGTTATAACCTCCAGAGCCTCAGAATGTGACTTTATCTGGAAACAGGGATTTTTTTAAAAGCCATTAAGTTAAAGTGAGGTTTTAAGGTGAACCCTGATCCAATAGGACTGGTGTCTTTATAAAGAAATTTGAACACAGAACTGCATGCATACAGAGAAGACACCCAAGAAGACCACAAGAAGACACAGTGAGAAGAAGGCCATCCACAAGTCAAGAAGAGAGGCTTCGGAAGAAATCAGACTGTGTGACACCTTGATCCTGGACTTGTAGCCTCCAGCGTGAGAAAATTAACTTCTGCTGTTGAAGGAGAAGGAGAAGGAGAAGGCGACAACCTAATGTATATATCATAAGACAGACACTTGGCAGCAAATTTAACAACAGTTTAACTTGGGACATTATTGGTAATACACGAATTTCCCTTCCTAATCATTACTATTAGATGCTGAAAAAAAATCTGTTACTTGATAGTAGTATTTTCTTTCAGAAACTTTGAAAATATATACACCAATAAAATTAAGGGAAGTAATTAATAGAAACAAACAGAAACAGGTTGAATTCTTTCAAATTCGTTTTATTACCATTCCAAAGTTTCATGTACCAAGGTAGTCAGACGTTTGATAAATTGACAATTAATGGCTCTGAGTGCCTTCAATGGAGACCCAAGATCTACAAAATAGTCCATGGAAACTGGCAATGAGTAAGGGTATCAAGTGGGATAGAGATGTTTGCTGCACATTAGTTACAAATATTTTCCACCTATTTGGTTGATTATTCTGTTATAATTTAAACTTTTATTTTAGTTGTCATAGCCTTTGAAAATCTGATGAAAGTAATGAAGAGCCTCAAAGAAAAATGCACATACTTATGTGAATACAAAATTTTGTATCAATATTTAGGGCATTTCATAGGTCTGTGAACTCTGAAGTAGGACTTCAGGTTTAGGGCAATCTATTCATTTGTATTCTACCATATCAGAGATAAGGCTTTACGACAAATTTATAATGTTAACATAACCATGTTTGGACGTTGTGCAATTGAACATAACTCAAATTCTACCAAGCATAGCAACGAAAGACTTTAATTATCTTTAAATAAGGAAGTAATAGGTATAACTTTGACAAACTTATACTTCTGCACAGTTATTAACAGGATATCAGAAGAATTCACTCATAATCTGAGTCATAATGGTTAGAAGTTTATATAAAAACAATAGCATATTTAATGATATTTGTAACTTCTGGTAAGTTGTCATTTTTTAATGTTAGAGGTAATTTAAAATTCCTAATGACACAAATATATTTTTAAAAGATTTCAGACAGTAACACCCAACATATAGCTTCTTCAAGTAATGTAAAGGACAGCATAAATGAAAGGCTATGAAATAAAATAAAATGATATATCTATACTGTTATCTTTAGTTGATCTTAAATACTATACATCAGTTAACAAAAATATAATTGGAAGTAGCCACACTGAAGGGAGAAATCTTTTTATATCTTTGAAGGTATTAGTTTCACATATTTTAAATTGGAATTTTAAAGACAATTTAGCTTAAGATTTTTTTAATGTTTTATTTATTTCTGAGAGAGAGAGAGACAGCATGAGCAGGGGAGGGTCAGAGAGAGAGGGAGATACGGAATCTGAAGCAGCCTCCAGGCTCTGAGCTAGCTGTCAGCACAGAGCCTGACGTGGGGCTTGAACCCATGAACCATGAGATCATGACCCGAGCCGAAGTCGGATGCTTAACTGACTGAGCCACCCAGGTGCCCCAAAGATAATTTACTCTTTAACAATATGAAACCTCTTTTCCCTTAGGTCATTACTTTTGTTTTTTGATATATATGTATATATCGGTATCTATCTATTTTTCTATTATACTTCAAATGGATGTTATAAGAAAAAAACTGAAAATTCTGTTCTGAAAGTATAAGAAAGCATTAAGATTGAAAAAAATAATATAATGTGATATAATAATATGCTGTGTTATAAGTTTTTATGTGTAGAGTCTGTGGAAACAAATGCTTTCATGGCATATATGAAGAGTACACTAATATTTTTCTTTTTTCCAAGAGAGTAAGCTTGAATTTCATCCAAATTAATTAGGATAGATCTGAGAGTAAGTAAGTGATTAATTTGTTTAATTGTTCATTCAATAAATATTTATTGTCCTTGTACTATGTGGTATGCACTGTAATAAGAGAAAAAATAAACAGATAAATTATAATTACCATCCCAGACCCTCAAGGGGTCTTTTAGAGAAGAATTATACAGACAGAATTAGGATGAAATATAATAAATTCCATGAAGAAAACAATATAGAATATCATGGGAGTACATACCTCTGCGGTTACGCACTTCTGCCCATCAGAAAGGCTTCCCCTTTGCAAAGAAAATTTTAATGAGGATATTGAAACAAACAAAAATAAAGAAACAAAACCTTAAAATTCCCTTGGCTTGTTTTCACATCAAATCAGCCCACTAGTCATCAAAATTTGAACAAACCATCAAAGTTCTGAACAGAATATAGTTATTGGTGGTGACAGTTTCCAGGGAACTAACTTTTTGGAAATTACTTAGGTCATTGGTCCATCAGATGCAAATTTCCACTTGCATCACTATTAATGTGAAAGGTACCTTTCACCCTTGGAACCAATAAATAACGTTTAAAAAAGGTCTCTTGAAATTGTTTATCTCTGTTCAACCAAATACTAATGATAAAGTGCTTTGTGTTCCCTTTCAAGTCAATAGTGGACTAAGAGATGATCCCCACCATTTTAATTTGTCTTCCCATCCCCCACCGTCTCTCTCTCTCTCTCTCTCTCTCACACACACACACACACACCACCACCACCACCACCACCACCACCACATTTTGTCTTTCTTCTGTCTCTCTCCTCTCCTCCACAGCCATCCTTTCGTGCTCCCTAAAGCGGTCAACCCCTGGAAGGCAGGGAGCTCTATTATGAAAGAAAAGAGCATCAAGTGTCACAAAAAGTGAAAGTGATTTTGACCGGATGTCCTTTGCCTTCACCTCTCCTCTCCGCTCCAGCAAAGGATGGAGTAAAAAAGTTGAGAGTACG